CCCACCACACTCACCATCTGGTGGGCAGCACATCCATCCACAGACACATGCATGTGGATGTGTGTGTGTGTGTGTGTGCATATGACTGACAGGAGGGTGTCGGGGAGCCGGGTTGAGATGGTTGGCGGGCAGTACCTGGCCGACAAGGTGCCCTGCTGCAGCATCAACATCAGGTACCTACGTCACCCACACAGTCACACACACTCTCACTCAGCAAAACGATGTGGTTTGTTCGTGTTTGTCTGTATGTGTATCCCTCGCCCACTCACTCAGTGCTGACGGCAGGTCCGTCGCTCTAGGCCTGACTGACGGTGGCGTGAGGCTCATCAACACACCTTTCCCGACGTACGCAGAGCACACAGCAAGGGGGGGAACGACCATATTTCTTTGTCATTTATGGTGTGTGTGTGTGTGCGTGTGTATTGGCTCTCTCTCTCTCTCTCTGTGTGTGTGTGGGTTTAGTGGAAGTGGTTGGAGTCTGCAGTACAGCTACATGCCCCACGGCCTTCCCACAAAGGCCGTCTGCTTCGCACAGTAAGTATTAAAAACAGGGGAGGGAGGGTGGGAGGGAGGGAGGGACAGGGGGATGCTATGCGCGCCTGTTGGTCGACTGGCCTGTGTGTGTGTGTGTAGACGTGGGCTGCTGGTCTCTGCTGGCGCCGATTACTCCCTCATGGTAGTCAAGCAACATGCGCAAATGTGCGGGCGAGAGAGTAACGACATGCGTGTGTGTGTGTGTGTGTGTGCCTGCACCAGGTTGCCGACTCGACTAGAAAACGTCCATGTGCAGGTCGCGGCTGCCGTGCGTATGTGTTCTGGGTGCTTCTATTGATGATGGTGGCTGTCGTGGTGGCTCTGGTGGTCAACGTGGGGCTGCTGCCCGACAGTGACAGCCATGTGTCTGACAGTAGCAGAGCAGCAGAGAGCTCTGTCCACACAGCTGCCCCAGATCAGACCGTGCGGGACGAACTCTGAGTGTGGATGGGGGGAGGAAGGCTTGCAAAGGCAGAGAGGGGAGTGAGGTGGGTGTGGGTGTGGTGGCTGGGGGGAAATAAACACGGGTGTGAGTGAATTATGGAGAAGAGACATGCAGTGTCTGTCAGCCATGCCCCACTCACCCACACATTTGTGCAATTGATCCGACCACCATCAAGCCAGCTGTACACACACACACACACACACACACACTCCCTCGCTCGCTCCCTCTCTGCACACACAGCCCACCCCTGCGCACATCCGTGTGTGGCAAGGTGCCTGCCTGTCTGTCACGCACTGCTGCACACGCGCATTCACAAAATTTGCAAACCCTACGCATAATTAGGCTTTACCTGAGCACCTCAGCCGCCGCCCCGACCCCCTGCAATGGGAAAAAGCCTTCAAATCAGAGAGAGTTTACAGCTGCGAGCTTGAGTGGTGCTAGGGCCCGCTAACGGCACATGCCCTCTCCAAAAACACAACAGCAGCAGAGAGGCGCACACACAGAGAGACCACACACGAAGCGAGAAGCAGCCAGAAGGCCCCCCACATGACACCTCTCTCTGTTTGTGCGCTTGTCGGCTCAGGAAAAGGGTGATCTATCTCAAGAAATCGGCAAGGACGTCAAGGGCCCTAGCAAAGCTTTTCTGACCTCTTGATGAAGGTGCGATTCTGAGCTGGAGAGGCCTATATGTTATTTACTTCAACTACTTTCGGGGTGGGATACCTTTTGAGCAACTTGGGATTCGCCTCATGACCCACACACACAACCTCATTCCCTCTGCTTGGTAAGGCCTCATAGCCCATAGTCACATTATTTTGGAACACACGCCCTCAGCTTCTCCCCTGCACCTTCTCTGTACTTGGCTCCGTCTCACTGACGCACCGCCCCCAGTCCCCATGCGACTAGTTGTCGTGGGCTGTCTGTCTGTCTGTCTGTGTGTGTGTCTGCTATCAGGCCTGCCCGGCGCCGGCAAAGGCGCCAGCTGGAGCAAAGAGCCTCATGCCCAGATTCTGCAGGTGGGCGGGGCAGGCACAGAAGGCAGACACACATACACACACACGCATTCATCGATCGCCTGTGTGTAAGTGTATCAGGTTCTTTCCTGACGTGGGTGGGCCTGCGAGTCGGAAGTACGTCCTCGTGGGCGCACACGGCGTCAGGGGACCCACCACACTCACCATCTGGTGGGCAGCACATCCATCCACAGACACATGCATGTGGATGTGTGTGTGTGTGTGTGTGCATATGACTGACAGGAGGGTGTCGGGGAGCCGGGTTGAGATGGTTGGCGGGCAGTACCTGGCCGACAAGGTGCCCTGCTGCAGCATCAACATCAGGTACCTACGTCACCCACACAGTCACACACACTCTCACTCAGCAAAACGATGTGGTTTGTTCGTGTTTGTCTGTGTGTGTATCCCTCGCCCACTCACTCAGTGCTGACGGCAGGTCCGTCGCTCTAGGCCTGACTGACGGTGGCGTGAGGCTCATCAACACACCTTTCCCGACGTACGCAGAGCACACAGCAAGGGGGGGAACGACCATATTTCTTTGTCATTTATG